CAATCCTACCATCATGTAAAACAATTACAGGCTTCAGTTTTACACTCACTTGGCAGGATGGTAGTACCTCCCTGGGCGGTTGCTGTCTACCAACCTACTACCTAGAATTTAAATAACTTACCACCCTTTATATACAAAAAAGCTTCTCAAGTGCTGTCACCAATTATTGCAACACTCTTTAACAAATCCATCGAATCTTTTAACTTCCCCTCAATTCTCAAAATAGTGAGGGTCACCCCAATACATAAAGGATGAAATCAAACAGACCTGAATAACTATAGGCCAATGTCTGACTTACCCCTTCTCTCTAAAGTCTTTGAAAAATTAATTCATAGGCAGATCTGTTCCTACCTCATCTCCCACAACATACTCAACCCCTGTCTGTTTGGGTTCAGGCCTAATAAAAGCACGAATGATGCTATTATGCACATGCTAGAGCTAATATACACTACACTCAAGAAAAAAAAAGTCCCATTGGGAATCTTCATTGATCTACATAAAGCTTTTGATGCAATTGACCATGATTTGTTGCACATAAAATTATCACATTGTGGTATAAGAGGGCACTCCCTCAGCTGCCTAAAGTCATACCTTAGCAACAGAAGCCAATATGTGTACACAAATGGAGCTAACTCTTCCACACAACCAGTTACAGTTGGTGTCCCACAGGGAAGTGTCCTTGGCCCTCTTCTCTTTCTCATTTACATAAACGACCTACCAAATGCATCTCAACTACTCAAACTCATACTATTTGCAGATGACACTACATATGTCTTCTCTCACCCAAGCCCAGTCATACTAGCCAATACTGTAAATTCTGAATTACAGAAAATATCTACCTGGATGATGATTAACAAGCTTACTCTCATATTGACAAAACCTATTTCATTCAGTTTGGGAACAGCTACAAACGTTCCCCTTAACATAATGATAAACGGAACCGTAGGCATACTATCGAAGATACGGTACTATGTTCCACAATCAGCTCTCCCTGCCCTATATCACTCAGTTATTTACCCCTATCTCACCTATGGAATCTGTGCATGGGGCTCAACAACAATAAATCATCTCAGACCATTAATTACCCAGCAAAAGGCTGCAGTCAGAATGATAACAAATTCCCACTCCAGACAGCACACCCCACCAATATTCAAAAGTCTAAACTTACTCACCGTACAAAACATCTATACTTATTATTGTGCCTACTACATACATAGAACACTAAACTCAGATATAAACCCTCCCCTCAAACTTCTCCTTACCAACCTTAACAGAACACACGACCATAACACAAGACACGGATCCCTCATTGATGTTCCCTGTGTCCATCTCACACTATGTAAAACTCAATACACATAAAAGGCCCAAAAAATTTGGGTGATTACCAAAGAAACACTGTCTGTATATCAATTCAAGACTCTTCTTAAAACTCACCTACTCACCCAAAACTAAATACACAGTACTTAATTTAACTTTACCTACATAGTTAACAAATCACTTTCTACTGCCTCAAAATATCATTACTCACTGTTTTATTCCCCTAGCCTTAGGACCCCATAAATATATGCTCAGAGATCAATAAATTCTCATACCTAATCTAATGCAAATATTGAATAATTTATATTTTATAAATGTATAACCCAGTTGTATAATTAATTAGAGAAACCTTATCAAACTATGTTTTTATAGCATTACCTAATAGAATAATCCATTCTCTTGAATGCACTGTAACTCATCTAATGACCATATGAACTTACTGCACTACAGAGCATTGATTTGATTTGATTAGATCTGATTAATAAATTGTACGACTACATATAGTAAATTGATCATTTTGTTATATTATTCACTGTAATGTTACAAAATTGTAAAACTATAATGCTTCAGAATTGAAATGTTCAAATTTCATTGTTTAAAATACTCAGTTGTACTTGATATTGTAAATTGTTTACTGTAACTTCTTTCTTCTTTCAACACACCGGCCGTATCCCAAAAAGGAAAACAAAAGTTTCTCCTTTTACATTTAGTAATATATACAGGAGAAGGGGTTACTAGCCCCTTGCTCCTGGCATTTTAGTCACCTCTTACAACACGCATGGCTTACGGAGGAAGAATTCTGTTCCACTTTCCCATGGAGGTAAGAGGAAATAAACAAGAACAAGAACTAGAAAGAAAATAGAAGAAAACCCAGAGAGGTGCGTATATATATGCTTGTACATGTATGTGTAGTGTGACTTAAGTGTAAGTAGAAGTAGCAAGATGTACCTAAAATCTTGCATGTGTATGAGACAGAAAAAAAAAGACACCAGCAATCCTACCATCGTGTAAAACAATTACAGGCTTCCGTTTTACTGTAACTGTTACCATTAAATCTGTTTTAGCTTAGATAATCTTAAGTTTATTTTAAGCCTGCCCATAATGCTCTGCATACAAGAAGCTTTTGACATGTACACCCAACTATTAAAATTACCTTGTACAACTATGTATCACTAGGTAGTAGGTTGGTAGACAGCAACCACCCAGGGAGGTACTACCGTCCTGCCAAGTGAGTGTAAAACGAAAGCCTGTAATTGTTTTACATGATGGTAGGATTACTGGTGTCCTTTTTTTCTGTTTCATGAACTTGCAAGATTTCAGGTATGTCTTGCTACTTCTACTTACACTTAGGTCACACTACACATACATGTACAAGCACATATATACACACCCCTCTGGGTTTTCTTCTGTTTTCTTTCTAGTTCTTCTTCTTGTCTATTTCCTCTTACCTCCATGGGAAAGTGGATCAGAATTCTTCCTGTGTAAGCCATGCGAGTTGTAAGAGGTGACTAAAATGCCAGGAGCAAGGGGCTAGTAACTCCTTCTCCTGTATGTATTACTAAATGTAAAAGGAGAAACTTTCATTTTTCCTTTTGGGCCACCCCGCCTCAGTGGGATACAGCGGGTGTGTTAAAAGAAAGAAGATACATAGCATATAAACATTGCATGTTTATATGCTATGTAATATGTTTCTTACATAATTTTGAAGAAAATATCATAGATGGATTAATGAAAATGTCTATATCAACGTAGACATTTAATGTGCCCAAGAGTGATTATTATTACGTATTACAGGTTGGCCATCACTAATCCAACAATCAGTTATCCTGTTCCATCAGTAATCCGGCACTAATTTTGGCTAGCATAATTTAAAATTTCATCATTATACTGACTCAAATTTCATCATTATACTGACTCAAATTTCATCATTATACTGAGTTGGAAATTGTGCAGATGGTTATAAATCCACAGGAGCAAGCCAGTGGAGGAGAAAGCAGTGATGAAAATGAGGAAGATGTAGCAGAAAGAGTCTCTATTGATAGGTTAATTAAGTGTATTCTAACCTAACCACTCTGTGATTCAGCAAACTCACTAATCCGGCACACTATAGGTCCCAGTGATGCCGAATTGGTGATGGCCGACCTGTAGTATTATTACTATGGTGTTAAGGTTAGAGGGCCACTCTTAGTGAACGAGTAACAAAGGCATGTTTATATACTATGTAACGTGTTTCTTATATAATTTTGAAGAAAATATCCTAGATGGATTAATGACAAGGTCTATATTAATGTAAAATAAGACACTTAATGTGCCTAAGAGTGAGTCACAAAAGTACAGTGGAGCCCCACCTGACGATATTAATCTGTTCCTGAGAGCTCATCATAAGCCGAAATTATCGTTAGCCGAATTAATTTTCTCCATAAGAAATAATGGAAATCAAATTAATCCGTTCCTGACACCCCAAAGTATGAAAAAAAAATTTTTACCACATGAAATATTAATTTTAATATACACAAACTGAAGAAGACATGCACAATTACTACTCTACTAAGAATTGAATACATAACACTTACCTTATTGAAGATCTGGTGATGATTGACAGGATGGGAGGAGGGAAGAGTGTGGAAGTTATTGTTTAGAAGGGGAATCCCCTTCCATTAGGACTTGAGGTAGCAAGTCCTTTTCCAGGGTTACTTCCTTTCTTCTTTTAATGCCACTAGGACCAGCTTGAGAGTCACTGGACCTCTGTCGCACAACAAATCTGTCCATTGAGCTCTGTATCTCTTGTTCCTTTAAGACTTTCCTAAAATGGGCCATAACATTGTCATTGTACGGGTTGCCAACACGGCTTGCAGTAGCTGTGTCAGGGTGATTTTCATCCATAAAGGTTTGCAGTTCAACCCACTTTGCACACATTTCCTTAATCTCTTTTTTCAGTTCCATACTAATTCTCGCCCTTTTTACCACAGGGATGGCACTAGAAGCTTTCTTGGGGTCCATGGTGACTTATTTTGCAGTTACAAGCACTAAAAACACTGGGATAATGTGAAATGTACCGAATGTATGCGTAGATGCGACTGCACTGGCTGGCTTGTAAACACTGGCGCTGAGGTCACACATGGGACGCATCCCGGACGAATCACGTAAGGCGAGTTTTTTATCGTGAGGCTAGGCAAAATTTTTGCGTTCAAATGCTTCGTATGGCGGATTTAACGTAACGCGATGCGTTTGTAATTCAGGGGTCCACTGTATGAGCAGCCCAGGCGGACACTTCTGGTATGGTCAGTTTCCACGCGGATGTACGAAACTCGGGGTAAAATTTCACCGAAAAAAATGGTCAAAATCCGAATTGTATGATTTCTGCACCGGATGAAATCCGGGGGTCCACTGTATATACAGTAGGTACCCTGGAGTTAATCAACTGTTGTGTGTGATACCCTTGAAAGTGATGGTATACCTTAGAGAAGTCTTTGCTTCGAAAGGAGCTAAGATAACAGTTCTCAGCCTATAAATTGAACTGTGCAAACTTGTGTTTAAGCACACCAATAGTGATAGGGGTTATTTACAAATTCTCATACAGTATTAACATACTCCTGGTGAATATTAAAAATTTATTGTAATAATTGGAAAAATAAGTTGCCAGCTTATAATAAGAGTTATAATCATGTGTAATTTTTCTACAGCTTGGTGGTATACAGCCTCACATCATCCCCACACGACCAGATGGGACATTTGATGTTAATGAGATAACACTAAGATTGCGAATTGAAGATGTTCACTGTCCTAGAACTACACTCATTTGCATTGAAAATACTCAAAATGTGTGTGGTGGAAAGATTTTGCCCAGCCTATGGATTGATCAGGTAAATATGAAGATGTCTCTGGTCATTTATTGCAATTCATGATTAAAATTTAAAATGAAAATAGATATTTCATATACAGGAGGGCCCTGCCTTACAATGCTTTGCTTTACAGCATTTTGCTAATGCAGAGGTTTTAAATTACTATACCCTATCTTCTTTTATTCAGACTTCCTACAATAAATATATTCACCACTCGCTTAAAGTAATATGTGTACTGTATATGCATATTTTAGGCCTAGCTCTATTGCTCACTTAATATTTTTATTTATTTTTTTTATTATCACACCGGCCGATTCCCACCAAGGCAGGGTGGCCCGAAAAAGAAAAACTTTCACCATCATTCACTCCATCACTGTCTTGCCAGAAGGGTGCTTTACACTACAGTTTTTAAACTGCAACATTAACACCCCTCCTTCAGAGTGCAGGCACTGTACTTCCCATCTCCAGGACTCAAGTCCGGCCTGCCGGTTTCCCTGAATCCCTTCATAAATGTTACTTTGCTCACACTCCAACAGCACGTCAAGTATTAAAAAAACCATTTTTTCCTCCATTCACTCCTATCAAACACGCTCACGCATCCCTGCTGGAAGTCCAAGCCCCTCGCACACAAAACCTCCTTTACCCCCCTCCCTCCAACCCTTCCTAGGCCGACCCCTACCCCGCCTTCCTTCCACATACGGGACTGATACACTCTTGAAGTCATTCTGTTTCGCTCCATTCTCTCTACAGCCCCGAACCACCTCAACAACCCTTCCTCAGCCCTTCTGGACAACAGTTTTGGTAATCCGCACCTCCTCCTAACTTCCAAACTACAATTCTCTGCATTATATTCACACCACACATTGCCCTCAGACATGACATCTCCACTGCCTTCCAGCCTTCTCCTCGCTGCAACATTCATCACCCACGCTTCACACCCATAAAGAGCGTTGGTAAAACTATACTCCATACTTTTCCCCCTTTGCCTCCAAGGACAAAGTTTTTTTGTCTCCACAGACTCCTAAGTGCACCACTCACTCTTTTCCCTCATCAATTCTATGATTCACCTCATCTTTCATAGCCCCAAATCCGCTGACACGTCCACTCCCAAATATCTGAATACTTTCCCACCTCCTCCATACTCTCTCCCTCCAATCTGATATTCAATCTTTCATCACCTAATCTTTTTGTTATCCTCATAACCTTACTCTTTCCTGTATTCACCTTTAATTTTCTTCTTTTGCACACCCTACCAAATTCATCCACCAATCTCTGCAACTTCTCTTCAGAATCTCCCAAGAGCACAGTGTCATCAGCAAAGAGCAGCTGTGACAACTCCCACTTTGTGTGTGATTCTTTATCTTTTAACTCACTTAATATGTGATAGTGTAAATGTGCTATTAGGCTCTTAGATGCATTTGAAAGTGAAAAAAAGTTAGGTTTAACTTTACAGAGATTTTTGCTTTACATTGGTTGTCTGGAACTTAACCTGCTGTACAAGTGGGGCCCTCCTGTATACAGTATAGTGCAGTGTACTGTGTATATAATATTAAATTAGGCCTTCCATGGTTTTTGGCAATTTTATTTTACTGTACATATACATGTACCTAGTAAATACAGTGAGACCCACATTTGTGAGATTATGTTGCTGAAGTTTATGATAATGTTTTGGTCTGACTTGGACTGTTTACAAGTCACACTAACACATCATATATATATATGAGGAGGAGGACAGGAATGGGGCAAGGATAGGAAGAAAGGAAGTGGAGAGGTAGAGGAAATTTCCTCTATCACTTTACCACTACTTCTCCACTTCCTTCCTTCCTTCCTCTTTCTCCCATCCATCCTCCTCTCCTACATATACTGGCTCCCTTACCTTCGTGTGTTAGTTTGACTGAAACATCGTCATGAACTTCTCTCTTTTATGTATGGGTTATTTGTGCATTGTTCCAGTCATGGTATTGTGCCTTTTTTGTTCTTCGTTACTGAAAACCTTGCAAAAATGAAAAAGGACATGAAAGTATTTGTGTGGTATTTCTTTTATCATTTCTAGAAACCATAAACAAAACTTCCATATTTCTTGAGCAATTTTTAGGAAAAATGTAAATCTTGCCCCATATGGAAATGAATATTTATCAAAAATCAGTGCAGAATTGAAAAATTAGTTTCACCATGTAAAGTAAGCCCATAAGTGAAGAATGGCCATACTCTTTAAATATTGTTCTAATCAGATAGTAATATTAATTTAAGTAAGAAGGGTTTTTCATGAATTGTGGAGCCACTCTGTAATCAGTGGGCTGGTGTTTGCATCATGTTATTATGCAGGTAAACTCAAAAAGAGCTAATGGGTATTCGCTTCATGATGATCCTCTGAGATGACTTTTTTTTTGAGGAACCAACCCTTAGTGATCTGTTCTAAGAAACCACAACTTACTCAACTGCTATACCCAGGTTCCTGTATGTTGAAGTTGTTCCTCATGCTACTGTAGAATATGTTGACTTCCAAGATGTGATACATTCACCCTCGACATTCTTGTATTCTAGGAGAGTTGTGCACCTTAGCAGATTACCTGTTCTAAGACCTTTTTTTATTTTACTCATGGATTCTTCACCCTGATGTTTTCCTGTTACTGGTAAAGCATTGGGTGAATTCGTGATGTGGATTTGTTCATGGGAGATTATTAAGCTGTTAACCTTTTCATTGTTTTCCTTCCATTAACTGAACAGTAATGATTGGATTGGATAGAGCTTCTGCTGTCCATATTTTTTTCTCCATTACCAATGTTGAAGGAATTTGGACCCCCATTCTTTATAGCATGTCTTTGATATTTTTGTATTTTATCTTCATTTTTTAAGGTGTGGATAACATGCTGTATCTGCATAGTGTGTTTATATTCGAGTCACATTATCTCATCATCTGTGATGTACATCTAGTTATTGTTTTTAGTATGTTATGTTCCAGTGTTTTGTTATTTGGTGGTATATATATTTAAAAATCAAGATAATCATTATTATTATTGTAGTTTTCACTTCCAACAGAGGATAACAATAATGGGTCCTCAGCAGTGTAGCTCCTTCCCTTCATCTCAAACATGAGGATATCAGTCATTACTGTCACTGGGTGATGCAACTGTTTGAACCACTGAATGCTGGCCAATGGGGTTGTTACGTCTCTGTAGCAACCCCATTGGCCAGCGTTCAGTGTTACTGTATTTTTCATCTACAGGTTGGCAGTATCGCAAAATCTGTGGGGATTCCCTTGCACATGGATGGAGCACGTTTGATGAATGCTGTTGTTGCCAGTGGGGAGAGTGCTGCTCGTATCCTACAAGGTTGTGATACTGCTTCTATATGTTTTAGCAAGGGGCTTGGCACTCCAGTTGGCTCCATTATTGTTGGTCCAGAAGAATTTATGTACAGGTCAGTGAACTAAAATTGTAGGCCAGTCACTATTTGTTAATGTGTTGATATAGTGCCATTTGTAATATGCCTTGCAATTTATTTACATTCTGTTAGACTTTTTGTATGCTTAAATTTTTTGATATGGCAAGTTTCACTGTGTAATTACAGTAATTAATTAATTACACCATCCTCTTCTTGCATTCATTGATAAAATTCTTTTATAGAAACTCCTCAACAATCCAGCTACAGTACCTTCTCTCTCTCTCATATAAGCTATAATACTCATTTGTGGTGGAGCTGTGTGTGCTCTCTGCCAGTCTCTAGGTACCTTCCCTTCTTTCATCCATACTGATATATTAAACAAATACACATCCAGTCCAAAAATATATCCTCACCTCTTTTCAGTATTTTAGTCTTCTTGCCATCTATCCTCATTGCCTTACCCCTTTGTCAGCTTTTCCACTGCCTAACCCACTTCATCAGTACTCTTCTCTAGCTCCTTTTTCCTCCTAATGGATTTTGCTTATTTCCTGTTCAGTGTATGGACTCACTACCTCCCTTCCATCATACACTTTTAACTATTCAAAATATTTTTTTCGATCTCCACAATAGCTTCCTCAAGAGAGGTGCCTAGATGCCATTGAGGGGCTCTTAATCTAAGGAATTGAACCAATTCTACCCCTCATTGGATCAAACATGATTACCTCCCATTCTCAAGTGCAGCATGACCCATAGGAGTTTAGCACTTCTCTCTAATGATAATAGTAATACTGTTGTAATAATAATTATAATAATAATAGCCTACATTACCTCCACCTCTCCAGCTAACATTGCACAACTGTCACCCCCTTTGCTTTCCAGGCTTTCTCATCTTACTTATCTTTCCTTGAAACTGTTTCTCATTTTCAGAACACTTTATAATTACCTTCCCCCCTCCTCTCTCTCTGTCTTTTTTTTCTACTCAGAGTTTGACAAGGCAAGGTTAAGGATCCCTAACCTTATTGACAACATAAGGATTCTTAACTTTATTGACAAGCTAAGAGCTGTTACCTACATCAGTTCATTTGAAAGCATTTTTGTTGTTATGTAACATACAAGTAGGGAACAGAATGAAGTTGGAGCCATCTGTGGGCCAACATTTTCATTTGATCAACTGACTTTATCTCATTGATACCATTATGCTGTACGATGTGTTCCAGACTTGAGTCATCCTGGGATGAATGATCTCAGATGAAGAGATATTCTGGCGAATGGTACAGCCAGAGTGAAGTTGTTGCTTTCTGCCCGTCTTGTAGTATAGAAGCTTTCTTCTCGCTGTCCTCGAAGTGGATCCAAGTGTGGTACTTTGACAATTTTGGCCTTGTACATAACAGTAAGGCCGCCCACATCCCTCCTGTGTTGAAGGCTCTGCTGAAATGACAGATCTATCCAGGATGGGTCCAGGTGAGAGATGAGGCATCTTGCTCTGTTCTCTACTTGGTCAAGCAGTTGCAGATGAGATGGGGGGCAGGCAAACCAAAAAAGTGGAGCATACTCAAGGTGTGAGCGTACTTGTGCCACATACAGAATCTTGCAGCCCCTTCTGTCAAGCAAATACGAGATACATCAAAGTTCTATAAGCTTCCTGGCTGCCTTATTGCAAGATTTACAACTTGGTTCTTCATGGTTAGTTTGGAGTCAGATTTCACCCCAAGGATATCAACTTCTTCCCCCGAATACCAACACTCTCCCATTCATACTTACTACTGCTCTGGCATTACCATCATGGTGCCTAGAGACCATCATCATTTCTGTTTTCTCAGGTGCAAATGTTACCTGCCATCAGTTTCCCCAAGCTGATACAGCTCAGCTAGTGATTGATGTAGCTTACAGCAGCTGGCATTTCTTCTCTTGGATAAGTAATGTCAGAGTACAGATGTCTGCATATGCATGGGATTCTGGGATGAGATGAAGGTCATTGAAGTAGACATTCCATAACAATGGCCCGAGCACACTTCCCTGTGAAACACTTGCCCCAGTAGGATGTCTTGCTGATTCTGTTACATTGAGAACTACCATTAGAGATCTACCATGAAGGTAATTACTGAGGCAGCATAGTGTAGAGCCTGCAGTTCCCAGTGCTTGCAGTTTTGCCAAGAGACCCTGGTGCCCCCTACCATACACAATGGAGAAGAGTGGTGGAGCACCTAGAAAGGAATGAGTTTATCAATGACAGCCAGCACAGTTTCAGGGATGGCATATCCTGTGCCACTAACCTACTGGAGTTCTATGACAGGGTGGCAGCAGTAAGACAAAAGAGAGAGAGTTGGGTAGATTGCATTTTCTTGGACTGTAAGAAGGCATTTGAAACAGTTCCACACAAAAAATTAGTGCAAAAGCTGGAGGACCAGGCAGGGATAACAGGGAAGGCACTGCAATGGATCAGGGAATACCTGTCAGGAATAGAACAGCGAGTCATGGTACATGGCAAGGTGTCAGAGTGGGCACCTATGATGAGTGGGGTTACACAGGGGTCAGTCCTAGGCCTGGTGCTGTTTCTGGTATATGTGAACAACATGATGGAAGAAAGAGAGTCAGAAGTATCCCTGTTTGCAGATGACGTGAAGTTGATGAGAAGAAATCAATCAGATGAGGACCAAGCAGAACTACAAAGGAATTTGAACAGGCTGCAGGTCTTGTCCAGCAACTGGCTCCTGGAGTTCAACCCCACCAAGTACAAAGTCATGAAGATTGGGGAAGGGCAAAGAAAACAGCAGGCAGAGTACAGTCTAGGGAGCCAGAGACTACAAACCTCACTCAAGGAAAAGGATCTTGGGGTGAGTATAACACCAGGCACATCTCCTGAGACGCACATCAACCAGATAACTGCTGAAGCATATGGGTGCCTAGCAAACCTAAGAACAGCATTCTGACATCTCAATAAGGAATTGTTCAGGGCCCTGTACACCATGTACGTTAGACCTATGTTTGAGTATGCAGTACCAGTTTGGAACCCACACATAGCCAAGCACATAAGGAAACTAGAGAACGTGCAAAGGTTTGCAACAAGACTAGTCCCAGAGCTAAGGGGCATGCACTCCGAGGAGAGGTTAAGGGAAATCAACCTGACAACGCTGGAGGACAGGAGAGAGAGGGGGGATATTATAACGACATAAAATACTGAGAGGAATCGACAAGGTGGATAGAGGATGTTCTAGAGATGGGACACTGCAACAAGAGGTCACAGTTGGAAGTTAAAGACTCAGATAAATCACAGGGATGCTAGGAAGTATTTCTTCAGTCACAAAGTTGTCAGGAAGTGGAATAGTCTGGGAAGTGATGTAGTGGAGGCAGGATCCATACATAGCTTTAAGAAGAAGTATGATGTAAGAGAAGTAAATGCGAGGGTCTTGGCAAGAGGCGTGGAGTTAAAAGATAAAGAATCACACACAAAGTGGGAGTTGTCACAGCTGCTCTTTGCTGATGACACTGTGCTCTTGGGAGATTCTGAAGAGAAGTTGCAGAGATTGGTGGATGAATTTGGTAGGGTGTGCAAAAGAAGAAAATTAAAGGTGAATACAGGAAAGAGTAAGGTTATGAGGATAACAAAAAGATTAGGTGATGAAAGATTGAATATCAGATTGGAGGAGAGAGTATGGAGGAGGTGAACGTATTCAATATTTGGGAGTGGACGTGTCAGCGGATGGGTCTATGAAAGATGAGGTGAATCATAGAATTGATGAGGGAAAAAGAGTGAGTGGTGCACTTAGGAGTCTGTGGAGACAAAGAACTATTGTCCTTGGAGGCAAAGAGGGGAATGTATGAGAGTATAGTTTTACCAACGCTCTTATATGGGTGTGAAGCGTGGGTGATGAATGTTGCAGCGAGGAGAAGGCTGGAGGCAGTGGAGATGTCATGTCTGAGGGCAATGTGTGGTGTGAATATAATGCAGAGAATTCGTAGTTTGGAAGTTAGGAGGAGGTGCGGGATTACCAAAACTGTTGTCCAGAGGGCTGAGAAGGGTTGTTGAGGTGGTTCGGACATGTAGAGAGAATGGAGCGAAACAGAATGACTTCAAGAGTGTATCAGTCTGTAGTGGAAGGAAGGCGGGGTAGGGGTCGGCCTAGGAAGGGTTGGGGGGAGGGGGTAAAGGAGGTTTTGTGTGCGAGGGGCTTGGACTTCCAGCAGGCATGCGTGAGCGTGTTTGATAGGAGTGAATGGAGACAAATGTTTTTTAATACTTGACGTGCTGTTGGAGTGTGAGCAAAGTAACATTTATGAAGGGATTCAGGGAAACCGGCAGGCCGGACTTGAGTCCTGGAGATGGGAAGTACAGTGCCTGCACTCTGAAGGAGGGGTGTTAATGTTGCAGTTTAAAAACTGTAGTGTAAAGCACCCTTCTGGCAAGACAGTGATGGAGTGAATGATGGTGAAAGTTTTTCTTTTTCGGGCCACCCTGCCTTGGTGGGAATCGGCCGGTGTGATAAAAAAAAAAAAAAAATAAATGATGAAGCTAATGGAGCAGGAAGAGTGACCAAGTAGCAATCAGTGAAGAGGCAGGGCCAGGAGCTATGACTCAACCCCTGCAACTACAACTAGGTGAGTACAGTGGCCGCAAAAAAATCTATTCATTAACAATTTTTGGACAATAAAACGAAAAATGCAACTTAATGTATGTACATGTAGTATTTTATTTTCACTTTTTATTTTCCAACTAGTACTTGGTCATGTTATCATTGTTCTTTATCACCATCTGAAGTTGCCTGGGCATCGAAGTGGCAAAGGGGGAGAAGAAGGAGGCATCCATGTTGATCCAAAGCTTCTTCAGTGGCTCCTTCAGGTCTGTGATGTTGGTGGGTCGAGCTTTTGCAGTCTCATTTTTCATCACGTGCCAGGCATTCTCGATAAGATTTAGGTCAGGGGAATTGCCTGGCCACTCCAAAACACTGATATTATTGTTCTCAAGAAACTTTTTCACCCCTTTTGACTTATGGGCAGGGGCACCATCATGAATCAAAAAATCACACTTGTGAACGTTC